CCATCCCAATTTTTTCACCCTATTTCACCTTTTTTCCAGCGAAACTGCTGTGACCTCCTCTTTTTCCCCCCATTTCTCCTTCTCATACCCTATTTCCCCCTGTTTTCCCATTTTTCCCCCTGTTTTCCCATTTTTCCCCCTGTTTTCCCATTTTTCCCCCACCCTCCGAGGCTGGAGCAGAGCCCGCCCACCAGCTCGACCGCACGGAGCAAACCGGGCTGACTTTCCATCTCGCTTCTTTGCCTCATTTCACCTTTTTTCTCAGCCAAACCGCCGTGACCTCCACTCCTTCTCTCCATTTCTCCCCTTTTGACCCCATCTCCCCATTTTTTACCCCCTTCTCCTCTTTTTCCCCCACCTTCTGAAGGCAAACCATATCCCAGCCCCCAGCTTGGCCGCCAGCACAACCCCACTTTCCATCCCGTCTTTTTGCCCTATTTCACCTTTTTTGTCCAAAAAACCGCCATGACCTTCCCTTTTTCTCCCTGTTTCCCCCTTTTTTGCCCCTTTTCCCCCCTCCTGCGAGCCCCCAGGGCTGCCCTTACCGCTGGAGAAGAAGCAGAGCCGGGCGAACACGGCCAGAACGTAGGCGAGGGCCAGCAGCCCCCCCAGCACCCCCTGGGGCTGCAGCAGCAGGGCCGTGCCCAGCCCGAAGGTGGTAAAATCCGCGAAATCATCCAGCTTGGCACCTGCGGGGCAGCGAGGGGCAGGTGCCAGGCGAGCCCCGGGCACGGGGGACCCTCAGGGTGCCCCCCCAGGGGCGAGGGGGTCACACTCACCCAGTGCCGAGCAGGCGTCGAGCTGCCGGGCCACGGCCCCGTCGGCCAAATCCAGCAGGAATCCCAGCAGGAGCAGCCAGCAGGAGAGCTGGTACTGCCTGGGGAGGGGGAACACGGGGGGAACCCCACTTTGCAGCTCCCTTTTCACCCCGTTTCCCCTTTTTTTTTGCCCCTTTTCACCCCATTTCCCCTTTTTTTTTTGCCCCTTTTCCCCCCTCCACCTACGGAGGATGACGCAGAGCCCGACCACCAGCTTGGGCACAGAGTAAAACTGGGGTGACCCCTCTTTGCAACCCACTTTTTCACTCTATTTCACCCCTTTTTGACCCCATTTCCCCCTCTTTTTACCCCCTTTACTCCCTTTTCCCCTCTTTTTCCCCAATTTCCCCCCTTTTTCGCTCATTTCCCACTTTTTCCCCCCATTTCCCCTTCTCCCCCACCCATTCAGGCAGGAGCAGAGTTCACCCACCGGGTTGGGCACAGAGTAAAACTGGAGTGACCCCCAATTTTTCACTCTATTTCTCCTTTTTTCCACCCCATTTCCCCCCTTTTTTACCCCATTTCCCCCCTTTTCACCC